GGATTCGTGGCCTGCTTAAATAGCCCCTCCACTAGACCACTAGAAGCAAGGGGTCGATGTCTGTTACGTCGTGTAAATCTGGTAGTAAAAGAAAAATACTGTTTTTCTCAACGGCGGTATCGAAGACTAGCAGTGTGTTAGAAAACCCATAAGATGGGCGTTTATTTTTATGAATAAATCTTTTCTTTCTTTACTCGGTCCATTGTCGCCGCTTAAATCCGGTATCATTATTTGCAATATCAGACTTTCCAATTGTTGGGGTTTCGTCATCTGAACTGAACCGCGCCAAACTTTGATGACCAGAGCATCCGGGTGAGTGACTTCTGTGGCTAAGACGTCGGGGGCCCAAGTGTCTGCTCTTCACTGCAATTTCAGTCTCGGGTGGCGGTTTCGACTTTGCGGTATCTAAAGTCAATGGTCTAAGGTATTCGCGTGGTCTAAGGCGCCATGAACACTAAACAACATTCCCGGAAGGACCTAAAGTGAGGTGCGACACGCAAACACGCCTCCCTTTGAAGTCTGCCAACCGTCAATTAGATACAGGCGTCGCTTGAATCGCCTCATTCGTTTAGTTTTCGACGTTGTCAAAGGGTATACGGCATAGTGAAAAGTTTCATCTACGTTGTAAGCGGACTAATGCGCTACTCATGGCCTCTGTCTCCACGGTACCACAACGTGTGGAAGAGCAAACGCAAACACAACGCAGGGTGGTAGCCACCAGGCTGGCCGTAGACCCTGCCATCAGCCATCACAGGGCACGACCCTCCAGGCCGATGGAACCGAAACCGACATCGACACTGCACTGTGTGTTTTCTTTGAAGAAAGGGTGCTGTCATTCATGGAAGTATACGGCAGATGCACACAGACATCCCGTGCTTACAAACTTTCCTTTTCCTTTCTGGTACGCAGTGGTTTCGGGAAAAGCCTACGAAAGCCAGAGAACCAGAGAGCGTTGCCCGGCGTTAGTGATGCGTGCTGTGCGTTTCTCACGAAATGGTCTCATGCAAACGACGGGGACTTAAATTCGCATCTTTCGCTTTGCCAGCTTCTTGGCGACGGTCGTTAATTAAGCGATGTCGTCGGGACGAGCGGTGCTTACTTGGTTGGCTGCCGCTTTTGACTTGTTGTCGCTTCGAATGGACGGAGAGGGGACGGGTGGAGGGAGGAGGGGGAGGGTGTCTATCTCAGCGTTCGCGTCCATTGCCTCTGTACTCGCGAACAGCGCCTGCTAATAAGTCTTGTTTGACAGGCCAAACAAATGGAGGCTGACACAGACTGCAAAATTTATCGCCTCTGGCGCAGAGCAAGTTTAATCAAGTAGCAGAACTTCATTCTTAGGGCTAACGAGCATCCGATCGAGCACGCAAAACCACCTGCCACAGTTTCAATGAGAAACCGCAACTGCGCTTTTCGCGACTTCCTTGGACGTCGAAATAGTTATGAATTGAAGTTAGAGTGCAACTTTGTCAATTCCTCTGCTAGCCGCTGTCAGCCGGTTCATGAAGGATCGAAATCGATGACGGATGGAGAGACAGAGACTCAAGATACCGGAGGCTCTTTATATTTTTAAAAGAAATTCATTTATGGGTTATGCATTGTGCTGAT